GATATGAGAAGTGGTATATCCTTTGAATTAAGATTAATGTCATAGTCTACGTCCACAACAAATGAACATCTTTTAATACTTGTTGCTTTGTTAAGATTTTGCTCGTTTCACATTAGTCTGCCTGAATTAGGATGAATGGAAAAACTTTCGCTGCACTCGAAATCTCTTTAGATCTCTTAAAAATATATCCTCCGTCTTGTTGTTCACGCAGATGTTCGATTGGAAAAATTCGAAGTGTGCATCATGGGTTGTCCACAGAGCATTGCTGCTGAATCTCTGTTCCATGTATTCTAAGCCTTCCAAATATTACAAGATTTTCAGCCTTTTTATTGATTTTTCGTGGGAATCCATAATTGTTTTTACTTACAATTTACCAACATACTCTGTAAAGATTTAATGTATTATTCTGTTACCCGTAAGCAAGGGCGTGCCAGTGACAACGCTAATTCTTAAGAATGCTTAATAACTCGCCCAATTTTCCAAAACTTCTTGCTAACCGATGATTCACGCCCCTATAAAAAACTGACAACCAGAAAATCAAGCATCTTGACCATTAATAACCTGAGCTCTACTGATTTCCTTCCACTAAAATAAAAATCACTTTGCGTTAATTAAGAAATGGACATATCATCTACATTTCATCTGATAAAACATAGTTTTACCTTAAGGTCCTTCTGAATGTTTGTAACTGTGTTTGTGAGTCCAATTATTTGAAATCAACGAAAGATTGTCTACAAAACCCTAGTATTTGAAACAAAATTTTCCAAAAAATGTGGTCATCATCTCAGAACGTCTTGGCATTAAAAGATATAGGAACCTCCCACGAAAATTATTGTTACTAATAATAGTCCAGTAAATTTCTATCTTGGAAAAAACAGTGTAAGATGACGCGAACTTCCACTAGAATCCGATTAGGAAGTAAAATCTATAGGGCCTCGAGACTTCCCAAAATACGGAAGGACATATTTCTCGGGCAGAATATATATTTAGCATACAGAAGATATTAGGGCTATCGGCGTGGCCCAAAGGCCAGCCCACTCGATGAGGTACAATGGCCAGGAAAATGAGGCTCTTTATCAAAACCGACCGTTAAACAAACAAATAACATATTTCACCATTAGCAGCTTTCAACGGAAACATCTGACTGCCACATATTGTTCAAAAATGAAAATTTAGAAGATTGCATGTGATGCTCAATTTTTCTGCATCTTCACCGTAGGTCGGAAAAAATGCGACTATTAATGATATATCATTTGTTTATGTTAACAGCATGAGCCAACAAATGTAATTTGGACTCAAACCTATAGAAGTATTAATCAAATTGCCACAAAAATGCAAAATTGTTCAAGCCAAGAGGTCAGTCTACTGCCCTAACAAAGATTTTCAAGAATCTGATCCTGCCACGTGGGGCATATCGCAAATCCCATCATCCGTAGGGCAAAGATGGATTCTTAAAGAAGGAAGTCATCTCATTAACAAACTGCCTAATTTGCAATGAACAAATTCACACTCACCCAATCAACCTTTACCATAACAAAAAGCGTCCGTACAAGGTTGCACCATCTGTCGGATATGAGGTGGAAGATCGCACACTAATAAGGGAAAGAAGACCATCAGCAGTGGTACCTGCCAAGATGACCTACACCATACGGGGAGAACCGGTGATGGTGCTAAAAAGACGAGCAAGGTGTGGCACATGTTTGTTTGTATACACCTTTCAGACGAAGGCACGTAGTAAAACACTATTCCTGAAATGGAGCGACGTCGTCCATCCTAATCGCCGGACCCTAAGCAGCCTGTGATATTTATGTTGCTTAAAACTTCTTCAGAGAGGAAACAGGCAGTCAATTCCAATCTTATGACTAAAGAGCGGTCAACACCTCCCAAGTCATTGAAGAATCACGTGTCCAAATCTTCCCAAACTCGTATCTATTCCTACTTATGCTAGGCATTAAATACGTCAGAATCGAATCAGCGTTAGTGTTCGAAGGGTAAGAAGGCAAGGGAGGAGGATATAAACGAGGCTCGTGCTAAACTAGCAGATGGCCTTCCCTTCTAAGAGGACATGAACTTCAAAGAGTAGCTCATAACCATCAAATTCAACCCCTACCTCTATTTTCAGTGCCAAAGAATACCCTTAATCCTCCACACTCTCCTCCATGACTTTCTTTCTGCCGCACTCGATGCTGGTATCACCCACAACACCGACACTGATCATGTTGGCTCAACTCGTCATCCATCAGGAAGAACATACCTCTGCCTGAGAGTTCTTCCTTTTCTTCCAAAAGCTGACGAAGAGGACGCTAGAAATTCCTAACTTCTAGAGGAGCCTGTCTTCAGAAGCTGTCCTACAAACACAATCTCTAACTGGATAATCGCTTAGTTCAGGCAAGAGGTCCACCCCCTAGCTATGGTTGAGAAGCTCTGCGAAGTAAAAATCAACTTACTCAGCCGTCTAGTCAAACTTGCAATTAAGAAGCAGCAGGAAATCCAGGCTATCCTGATCCACCAGGAGCCTTGAATCTGGTCAAAGTCAACACCCTCGCGTCACACTTCTTCACTCTGTGATCTTAGACTAGGTGAACCCTCCTTTTCTCTATCCTGTCTGCTCCCACATGGCTCCCATTCATATATGCGGGCCCCTGGTAAACTTGAAGGACGTTCCTGCAGTTTTCTTCTCGACTCGGGCTCAGATAGATCAATGGTAAATCGCCAAATCGCAAAGATCCTTTCCCCTACTACAAAATTGCGTTCAGCAGAAGGAAAGGGGATGCTAGTTAATAGAAGACTTCGTTAGAGGTCTGCACGGGGAAGGAAACCTGGATAGTGGAATCTATTATATGTCTAGGACTTGCATGGGATATGATACCTGGTACTGATTTCTTACGACACACCAAAGCCATCCTATATTTTGCAGAAGGAACCTTTTATACCTTCCAAGTGACCGAGGCCAAAGCATATACGTTGCTACTGAAAGATGACGCTAATGACATTTTGAAGCTGCAACCATTCCCATGTACAATTTAGATGACCTTTGCTCGCCGCTGACCCACATCGATGAAGAAAGGAAAGAACTTCGTAAGCTTCTCATTAAATATGCGAACATCTCATGGAAAGGTGCTAAACCGAGACGAACAAATACCGTCAAGCATGTGATTGATACCAGTGAAGTTGGACCCATTTGGCAACCACCCAGGCGTATTCCACCTCCTCTGCCAGAAGAAGTAAACAGTCTGGTTGATGGGATAATTTGAGAGGAGGTTTTAGAGCCGTCCAAGTCCTCATGAGCCTCACCGATCACGCTGGTAAAGAAAAATGATGGTTGTTTACGATTAGAAATCGACTACAGAAAGTTAAATGTCATAAGTAGGAAGGATGAGTTCCTCGTACACCACACAGATGATTAACTAGACCACTTACATGGGTCGAAGTGATCCTTATCCTAGACTTGAAGTCGGGATATTGGCAAGTAAAAGAAGATAACTCTTTTATTGCCAAAAGGTCTTTATGAAGTCCAAACGATGTACCTTTGACTCTGTAACGCAGCGGCTATCTTCTAACGCTTGATACAAATAACATTAATTGGCTTATTTCCAAAACATTGCGTACTCAATCACAATGACAGTTTCTTTTTTGGTGGAGACATTTGAGAGCATAAAGCCAACCCGAAACTAATGATGGACCGTGTACGACATACAGGGTTAACTCTGAATCCGAAGAAATACCGTTTCCTGCAACTCTTGGTCACCCTCCTGGGACATACAGTCGTGTCAGATGGGATGGCAGTCACCGAAGACCGTGCGCAACAAGTGATGGTATTGCCTACACCAACCAACCAGATGGAGCTCCGCATTTTCCTAACGTGTGGTAAACTAATACCGGTGTTTCCTTAATGATCTTGCCAAAATCGACAGCGAAAAAGAATTTCAATTAGGAGAAAGAGCATGATTAGGCATTGAAGGAACTGAAGCAAATTCTCTGCTCCGCGCCGATTCTAGTATTGCGAAACCTCGAATCAGAGTGACGCGGCTGTGGGTGGTGTACTCTCACAATGGGACAAAGGGTGAGGGGAACACTTCGCCGCTTACGTGGGTACCAGACTTAGTAAAAAAATGAGACAGAAAAGTGCAACCCAACGTGAGTTGTTCACTATATACTCAATGACTAGACACTTCAGACATTACCTGATAGCAAGGATATTCAGCGTTAGAACTGACCATCAGGCACTCACCTGGATAAAGCCAGTGACGGGGATCAATCGTTCATTTGCACGCTGGTACGTAGAACTGCAGCAATATGACTTTGCGATTCTATACAGAAAAGGGAATGCTCGTAGTAATACGGAAGCGCTATCCCTCAGACCGACTGCAGCGGATTTAAATGACGTTGTGGTGGGCACCATATTTCCGAGCCACCCCACTAAAGACTTCTGGCTAAATACACGGAGTACCGATCCTGACACTGCTCTGATGCATGAGAAGTTCCCGACATCCTCTTATAAGCTCACAGCGGAAACGACGATGCTTGCCGGTAGGGAGGCTAAAGGGATTTGGCAAGAATGGTCAAAACTCTCTCTGGGGGATGAGGTTTTATAGTACCAAGAAGGCTACGAATCGCCTTAGTATGTAATGGTACCTGGCTTATTAGTACAAACAGTTCTTCAAGAGTTGCATGAGCAGTTAGGCCATGTGGGTGAAGAGATGCTAGCTGCCTCGAGCAAATTATACTACTGGCCTTAGCTCACCTTAGACGTATTAGATTTCTGCCAAAACTGTACCACATACAGCGGCTTCAAAAGGCCTCATTCCATATCCATCGCACCTCTGCAACCCATGCCCACTGATTTCCGAGGGGAAAGAGTGGGTGTAAACATTATGGGTCCTCTACCGCTCACTAAGAGAGAAAACAAATATATTTTGGTGGTGTAAGAGCTCTCACCTACAAACTACCTCGTCTGCAACACAACTGCATACCCAGCCAGTAACCGTTCACCATGAGATTTAACCCTATGCCTCATTAGAAGGCAAGAAATCAGTGATTGACAAAGTTGAAGGCAATTTATAAGTGGTAGCATTGGAGATGGTACTGTAATGACGGAGATTCTCTGCAATACACATGTTATTTAAATGAGCCTTTCAGTGAGGTGAAGGGCAGTCGAATCCCACCCCGTGACTAAGGCTGGGTCAACACCCCCCAAGCCAGAGAAGAGTCACGTGACCATATCTTCCCAGACTTGTATCTATCCCCATTTAAGTTAAGCATTAAATAAGTCAATCCTCTCAGCCACAACGTTCGAGGGGTAAGAAGGCAAGGGAAGAGCAGATAAACGAGGATCGTGCCACAATACTATTACCAATAAGAAACGCCCCACCTAACTAGTCTACTCGTCCGAGGGAAATAAAGGCCAGGGGAAAGTGATCAACTCCAAACACATTGCATCGGAAAAATTAGCCAGTCACCAAATCGCCGAAAAGTGTTCAAAAGATGAGGTTAATCCAATGTTGAGGAGGTATTTAGCGTTAACCCTTATCAGGTTTGATACCTCGCGTACCTATGCTGTGTGTTCTTTTGCATATGGAAGCAATCCTATCCAAATTCTTGCTGAATTAGAGGTATTTGCAAAGGTGAAGACTATATTTTCGATAGATGATGTTTGTAGCTCATTAGCTGTCACTTTAGTTTTGAGAGTTCGGTAGTGGCTTAATTTTCCGGTTTCCACCTTTTGTATCAAGACCTTGATTAAGTAGCGCCTTTAGGACCATTTGGTGTGGTTAGGTGTGACTCCTTTCACGCAGTCCGATTGCCTCCAAAGTCTTCGCAAGTAGGTTTAGCTAGTGGTCATTGATAGCAAATAATTAGACCTCTTGGTCTGCTTGCTGACGCTGTTTTTATGTTTTGGCTTTGGTCACACAACTACTCTGACTTCAGGTTGCGTGATGCATCGGACGCGACTAGCAACACCTTGATATCTCCGGTCATGTCATGTCATAGCCTGTCTTGCCTTATTTACTTG